AAGAAGGCAAAAGCTGTTGTCCTCTTGAGCGACATGCATGATTACAAAGCAGTGGATGACAGCAGTCAGTTTTGCATTAGAAGGGGTGTGGATATGTTGCACATCAATGGTTAAGAAATGAGAAGCAATTCGTTGCACCAGTTGGGGTTAAATAACGTGTTGTCAGCTGAAAGATAATTGCCCTTGAGGTAATTATCAATCGGAGACTCATACCATCCAGGTGGTGACTTAGTTTTGGCCGGGCAGCGCATCTCTAAAATGACCACAAAAAAGTGGATTAGCGCAAACAGATCACATCATCCATCTATGGTCTCCATGTAAACGAATGCTGGATCGGAATTTGGTTGCATATTTCACACAAAGAATCCCGGTAGTCAGGAAAAAAGTGGCTATCTGAGGATGAAGATCTCCTCTACACTCCCAGTATCAGCAATAAAGGTGTATACACACACACACACACACACACACACACACACACACACACACACACACACACACACACACACTTACATTCCTCCTTATGTATCCCATTAATCACTGACAGATCATGATTACAACGTTTGTGGGGAACTTTGCCAGATGTGACATGAACTAATCAGAGATTTAGCAGAAGTCCTTCAAAATCCCTAAATCTGCGTGGTGCCCTCTAATATATATATATATATATATATATATATATATATATATATATATATATATATATATATATATATATATATATATATATATATATATATATATATACATGTATATATATATATATATATATATATATATATATATATATATATATATATATATATATATACATAGCTCAACTTGAATCTTAAAGATAAAACTGTAAATGTGAATAAGAGAATAACTAAAACTCTGTATATGTGCTCACAGGTCTTTGAATGAATGAGACATTCTCACTGAACATGAGAAATACTTCAAAACCTGATCAGTGCTAAAAATTTATCCAACCTAATCCACACGTTCTCATTCATCAAAATGATTTATCAAATATATTTTAAAAATACAGAGTTCACATAAGAAAAAGGGAATTGGGCCAAAGAAAGGCATGCAAGGAAGATGATCTGTTCCTTCCCTTGCTCCACTCTCCACACAGAGCATCCGCTTCACATCAGCCTGAAAGGTAAAAGAAGAAAGCAGACGCTTCGCTTTTAATGTTTAAACGCTAAACAAGCATGAACGCCTGTCATCGCCTTCATTTTCTGTCTAAAAGCATACACTCGTGCGTCTAAATATTTTATTCCATGCTCATGATAATGGTGGAAAAATGCAGAGGATAATGAAAAGGTATGGATTGGGGTGGGGGGTTGTCTATGAGTCTTTTACTGCAGGAGTTTGAATATGAAACCCAATACTTTTGGTAAATGTAACCATCAAAAAGTAAATATCAGCTGTATTAAACATTTAAATACATACAGTTGCATCTAAATATTGACATTAAAATAGATGTTTGACCTGCTGTGACGTTGAATTATCATGCCAAAATGTAAAGAAATCCCCTTTATAATGTCTAAAAGTCTTTTTGATGGAAATGTTGTGAACCTATTTTCAACTGTGGGTCATGAGTGAATGTGCAGGAAGAACCCAAGAGTCAGCATGATGCATTATGAGGTGTCTTCTAAATGCATTTTTAGGCTAAAGCCATGGTACAGCCGTCTGAATTTAGCAAAAACTTTTACTCTGAACTGATGCACGTTTAAGATTTCAGAAAACTTTAAATGTTCTAAATATTCAAACATTTTATGTGGATAAGTGTTTTAACTTATGGTTTTAATCGCATGTGAAACAAATGCAAAAAATTACATTGAGAATTAATTCAAAATGTTTTTAGGTTAACCTTCATATTTTCAAGTATTAACATTGAGGATTAAATATTGGATTCTGTTGTAACTATGTTGTTTTAATTTTAGAGTTTGCATGAATACTTTACTATAAATTGTTATTTTTAATGTTAGTAACAGAGTGTTGAACTTTCGATTCCACACCTAGAGGCCACTTACAGCAGCCCCCCAAACCCCCTTCTCCTTCTTTTCCTCTGATGGTGTTAAAGATACAGTACCCCCCCCCCACCCCCACCCCCACTCCCCCATTCCACACCCCACACCCAATGTGTTGCATGTGCAGTAACCCCAATGATATTTTTAATGTCTAAATTAATAAGGAAGGCGTGTGTGTGTGTGTGTGTGTGTGTGTGTGTGTGTGTGTGTGTGTGTGTGTGTGTGTGTGTGTGTGTGTGTGTGTGTGTGTGTAGAGAGAGAGAGAGAGAGAGAGAGAGAGAGAGAGAGAGAGAGAGAGAGAGATGTGAGTGAGTGTATGCTTGAGCGCTTCAGATGGGTTGTTAAGGTGGTATTAGAGTTAATGCAAATTAAAAAGGGCTGGCTGATCTCCACTGACCCCCCCCCCCAGCGTTAATGCGGCCATTTGCTTGGAGGTACTCACCCCATAATTCAATTTGTCAAAATGAATGCGAGAACAGACAATTCAT